GTACTAATGTGTTTAGAACAGAAGAGTAAATGACTTTAAGTAGCTTTCTAAAAACAGTTATTAAAGATATTTTACACCCTTCTCTACCCGCACCCAGCCCAACATGAGAGAGCTAAGCTTAGTCCTCTGCTCCAGCCTAACCTTTCATGTGCCTAGAGTCTCCAAGTCTGTCCTACAGCAGTCACCACATGTCAACAGGCAGCAACGGGACCGGTCACAATGGCAACTGCGAAGTGCAAATTCCTGCAAGCACGGAAGAATGTGACTGTGATCTTCAAATGTCTGGAAGATACAGCACTTCTGTCATCTCTTAGCTTGATTTTCATAGCTGCTATCATGCAGCTGAAACATCCATACAGCTGTTAGTGTACGGGTAAATGGAACTGATCTGCAAATAAATTAACCAGAAGAGGGTATAGCCTCTAACATTTGCCAGATTTTCCAGTTTCCAAAAAGAGGTGTGCAAAACCCACAAAGGTGCCACTATGCAAAGAAAGTAGCAGCTTTTATCCATGTTCTAATACCAGGGTTTCATGAAAAACAGTCTTATATTAGACTTATGATAGCGTGACAAGCCAGACAGGAACAACATAACTCATTTACAATACCTCATTTTAAACCCAGCTGAAGAACAAATAAAGTGATTAAATGCTTTATCTGCAGCTAACATCTTTATTACACTTCAGTGAAGGAGTGTTTGTCTGAAAAAAAACTGTCGTTAGGGCATCAAGCATTCAAACCTGTCATCATAAAAAAAAAAAGATGTCCTGCATGCAGACATATCCAGGAAACACTTCAGTTTTGCAGAGATTTCACTACTGCAGTTGTCTTAGTGAGCACCCAGATTCTTTGGGTAGTGACTCAGCAACCAGTCTAACAAGCCTCATGCAATAGGGAACGAAAGGCTCCACCACGTCACATGAGGCAAGTTGCTGCAAAATGGATTTTAGGTCAAATCATTGCCAAAACAAACTGTGGAAGCTAATTCTACTTTTGGGTGTATTTTATCCTAAAGTTGACTTGGCTAATAAAAATAGGCACAGCATGTTTGGGCAGCTAATGGAAAGTAGTTCATCAGCCTGAAGAAGTAGATGTAGCGAGTCTTGTTTGTGACACCTCTAATGCTCTCAGCAGTAACAGGTGTCCAAGGTCACTGCTGCTGGTGCTCTAGTTGAGAGGAAGAGCAAAAAATGTTGCCCTCAGTGCATTACTTGTTTGGGATTGTGGCTAATGAACCACTCCAGAATGGAAAACTGCTGACTGCTGGTGTCAGTCCTTTTTCAGTCCTAAATGACACCAGTTTGGAGCTATGATTTGCAGTTTGCCCCCTTGATACTGGTTCATTAAGACAGAGATTTTTTCAGTCTGCAAATTTCTTAGCGCTTTCACTGACAGCACAGACTCCTGTCTAGGGTTTCCTTGCCGGAGATCAGAGTTACCCATGATTACTCCATACGTTTTATTTGCTCCATGAGATGACAGCAGTGTGTCACACTGTGTCCCAACACACACTGCTGCAGCGTGCGGTGTTTCTATGAGGCCACAAAAGACATTTTTATTCCATTCCCATTTAGTCCCATTCAGTAAAAATTAGAGGGAGGGCATATCTAGGCCAACTGTACATCCCTAATGTATTCAAGCCTGGATTTGCACCTTAGGTAGGAGCCAAAGTAGGAAATTTGGCTACACAAAGGCTAAATTATTATTATTATCATCACGATTATTTATTATTAATCAATCCTAGGACATTACAGTTGTTCCTCTGGTAGCGCTTTTTTGCTCACTGGAAAGAAGGTTTGAAAAGATATTTTTGAAAAGACATTGAATTAAAATACACTGAATTCAGCCTTACTGCTCTCAAGCTCAGCTTGTCTGCTTGCATGCTGGGCCTCATTTGAAACAAAACTGTTCTCCTCTAGCTGTGAAATCAGGATGCCTTCCGCTTCCCTCAATCATCAGCCCTTCCTGCGGCTTGAAGAGTCCTACTCCTTGTAGATAAAAACAGAAACCAGACGTCTCCCAAGACTCCTAAACGAGTTGTCTGGAAACTCAACATTCTCCATCTGATTAGAAATGTCACATCATTCAAAACACTTTAAAACTGTAGTGGCCAAGTTTACATTCGATTAGTACATGAAATGTTCACTCAGGGATTATAACAGACAAATGAGTTTCTCTTTTTCATGTATGGATGTGTGGTCTAGTCTGGTCATCTGAATGGAATGTGCTTTGTGTAGCCCTGTTACAGCTTGACAAAATGAACCAATAGTCCAAGGAAGTTTTGATTTTACTACTTTCATTTCATCAAGTATTTCATATTTTCAGGTAATTTTTCTCCTTTGCTTATCACACAGAGGCTTCTGCACCATACCTTTTTCAAATTTACTTTGTACAGCTATTTTGCCAATCCAAACATATCTTCTTTGAGAGTTTTCCCATATTAGGCAGAATCAGCAGAAGTTATTTGTGTTTCAATGCTTTGTTCAAAAGATGAATAGGAGACACAAAAGACCCAGAACAAAGCTCCACATATTCATGTTGAACAAACTGTTGTTTTACTGTGGTTCTCTGAAGAAAAGTTGCATTTTGGTTAACAACCTCTGTGGAAATAGGCATGGCACTTAAATGAGAAATCCAAGTAAGATCTAAGAAACGGAGAGGGAAATGAAACCTCCAACAGCCAGATAAGTCAGATAAATTCATAAAGCAGATGATTTCAAAACTACAGCTAATGTAGTAGTCCTTTACCTTTTTTGGCTGCAACAGGTTTTGATCACCTGGTATTTATTTCCCTGCTTGCATCTTCTCTTTAGACTGTCCAGTGCTCTCTAAAGACCGCCAGCCTTTCTTCAGCTCTGACATTTGCACATGTTGAGATGAAGATGGGCGTTTCTGAAATCTTTCAGAAGGAGTGATCAAGAAACCTAGCAAGACATGTTATATAATAGTCATAGTTTTCCAACCATGAAAAATCTAACAACTTTCCTCTACAGCATCTAAAACTACAAAAAAGATACACAAAGCTAGTGGGTAGCTTATTAATGAGGTTGTATTGCAGCTGCATCCCTCCAGGGACCTTCTGGGAGGGACTCTAGCTCCTGTGACCTCCCAATTCAAGCACACACAGCTCTTTTCTCAGACTAAGCCAGATGCATCATGCAGCAAAACAACAGTCAGCTATAGCTCTGCCTCTTCCCTTCAGTTTTTAAGTAGAATAAAAAGCACCTCCATAGGGTGAAGGTCTCAAGCCAGCCCAGCCCTGTGTTATAGCTCTCCTCTAGGTCTGCAGTTCATTCACGTGTAAGGTTGCCTCTCTGGCAGGTTAGAACCTGTATCAGATCTGCAGAGTTGAAACTGTAGATTTAGCTGTGACCTTTACAGCACCGAGCACGCTATTAGCACATAAACAAGATAACGTAACCCCTTAACCACACTCCGCTTCAGTGAGGTTGCACAGCTGTTAAAGAAGTAAAAGCTGAGCAAGCAAAAGTAGTATGTACAGAGCAGGAACTTTATGCCTCAGGGAGACCTCTTTGTTCTCATAAGAGATTGTATTACATTTTCTACCCAGTCATGAAACGGCTTCCAACAGTATCTCATGTGGGCTTCCCAAACCAGTGTTCTCTTACATGCCACAGCTTCACTGAAACACTGTGCTAGGCAATTGAACATCAACCGTTTGATTAGTCTTGCAGAATCTGGCTCAGCTTTAGGTGTGAACTGGGGACTAGGTGTTTAGAAAAATGTAATTTATACATCTTTTTGTCATTTTTCCTATAGGCAAAAAGCTTACCAAAATTTTCTTTTGATGACTTTGTTGTCTTTACTGATTTTGCTTGTTTTATATTACTAAAATAAAACATCAGAGGGATTTGCATCAGATAGAGGGATTTAAGTCTCAAAATATGCATCATAATACAACAGCTTTACTTTCATTCAACAAAAAGGACGTAAAAACATCAGAAGAAGCTTCCATTTTTGAAAATAAAGAAGAATGGTCACTCATATTTATGGAGCAAAAGCTGCAGCAATACAAAATATTACCAGGTGGCTTTTTACCAGCCTTTCTCCAGGGGTACCTGTACCTCCAGCAATGCAGAATGCCTTTCACATTAGAGATGCCCTTTTTACTTTTCCTTTACTTTACTATTCAGAAAGGTTCTGAGTAGTATTTGTCTTCATAATTAGCAATCTTAAGATGCTTGTGTTAATAGGCTCTCTGAGCTCTGCATTCATATTGGCTTTTGGCAGACAGAAGGGAGAATTACATGCCAAAGTACTGACTTAACTATTGAAAGGGAAGAATTAACTTCACTTACCAGGCAGTCAGACTTTCCGATACTGCCCTCTCATCTGTGCTACATTTTTTCAGAACCAGCGTGACGTAAGATAACGATTTTGAAAGGCCTATAGCATAAGTAATATTCATATTGAATAATGACATAATTCCCTACTTACTGTAAATAGATAATTCACTAGAAATAACGCTTAAGAAGGGATAGTACATTGCACACCATTACTGCTTCCTATAATGCAATACCTTTACGAGAACAATTGGCATTATAGAATATTTTTGTTTCCGTACTGTTTCCCTTCCTCCTCTCAACCCTCAAATGCTTTTGAGGGTTCATTTACTTACTACCTCAGTGTCTTTTAAGCTAAATTTATTTAAAGTAGTCATTTCCCTACAACTTTCAGTCCTTGAAATAGCCAGCATTTAATCTATCTGATGAGATCGATTCTTAGCTCATATATCATCAATTACAAAGATTTTGACATTGAAAGTCAGTTGTTTTAGCCACTTTTAGGCAATAGTACCTGCTGCGGAGTGTGTATAGAAACAGGCTTTTTGTAAAACAAGGCCATACTTAAAAGTCATAGTCAGCACGCAGATGCACTTTGAAAATGTTGTGTTCTGCTTTCCAGAAGCATGTGATTCTGTGCAGCGACAAATCTGCTACTGATCAGGTCTGCTCCTGTTTGTCCTTTTTGTTGACAGCATGCAAGACGACAGTTTAGAATCCTCCACGTCAATATCTCAACTGCTGAGAGAAAGTTATTTAGCTGAAACTAAGCATCAAGGGAACAGAGAAAGAAGTAGATCGGAACCAGCTTCGCACAATTTCCATTACGGCAACACTTCTGGCGACGCAGATGAGGTAGCCACCCAAGATGACCTTCCAGATCTCTCTGCCTTTCTGAGCCAAGAAGAGTTAGATCAGAGCGTAAACCTTGCAAGACAAGCTATTGATCAGAATCCACTTGAAACTAAACAGGATGAGCTTCAGACACATTCACATCATCCCTCTGACCTGCTGAAAAACACAGGAAAAACAGTTCCGAACAAGCAAATGGCCCAGTCTACAGCTCTGAAAACATCAGACAACGGCCTGCACTCCAACTTTTCCCAGGACCACGTCAGAGATGCAAAGGGCTCCAAAGGGAACGCTCAAGATCTGAAGAAACAACAGCTTCCCTCCGAATCAGAATCGAAGAAGGAATTCCTGAACAAGGCAGCCGATTTTATTGAGGAGCTCTCGTCACTTTTTAAAGCTCACAACTCAGAAAGAATAAGACCCCGAACATGCAAAAACTACCGGAGTAAAATTGATTCTAAGAATAAGTCTGCTCAGAAAGGTAGCTCTAGCTTTTCTAGTACATCAGAAAACAGAGAAAGACTTTCCATTCCAATACCTCAAGATCTGGAAAATGAAGCAGAGAAAACACTTGAACAAACAGATGACCATCAGACAGCAATTCTGGAATCTATTGATCAATTAGCAAGTGCAGAGCTAAAGCCCGAGTCAGAGTCTGCATCTGTATATTCTGATGAGCCCATCGGACAACCACCGCGCTTTACGCAAAAGTTGAAGAGCAGGGAAGTTCCTGAAGGAACCAAAGTGCAATTGGACTGCATTGTGGTAGGAATCCCAGCACCAGAAGTCAGGTAAACATATTCTGCACTTGCCATTGTGTATTTCTGTGCCATTAGGTGTATGCCTTATCCCTCGCAGATGTTTTGATGTTTGTGTTTCGGTAATATGTAGCAGGAGGCCTTTGATCTTGGATACCAAAACTGATTAAGAAAAACTACTACGTTCTTTAAATTAAACAAAACGTTGTCAATATTTTAAGGCAACAGATTCGGGGGCACATTGTCTTCTTTGAATTTTAGAGAACTGTTCTTAAAAAGCTGTACTTCTATAACCAAAGGAAAGTGCTACCTCTTGAATGAGAAATGCTAGTTATCTTTACAGAAATTGAAAGAGGGATTGATTGTGTAAACCAGTTAAAAATACCGAAGGCCATGAGACTTCAGCCTGGTGTTTGAAGGTATTTGAGATGACTCCTATAAACAAACAAACAAAAAATCCATAAATGAAAAGAAAGGAGTTTATTTCAGTTATCACACAAATAACCAGCTGCAGCTTAATTCTAATTCAGATTCTGACAACAATTCCCGTATGACCTTGAAAAACGCACTTCTGTTTTACTGTGTAAAACACTCTGATTAACTGATAAGTATTCATGTTGTGTGACTATCCTGCTAGATCCAATGCTACAGTTTTCACTCATATCTATGAGGACTTTGAAGGTCAAATAGGCAACATTTGCACAGATCACTGAAGTTGAAAGGAAATGTGACACTTTATTCATCAACGACATCAATGGAATAAGAAACAGATTATTATAACTTTTGCATTTATCTTGAAAATTCTTAGATCTCATCAGTAGTTCTAAATTTAAATTTGTTCATGCAGAGCTCATAGGGCAAAATTTGCCTCATTTACAGTGGAGGAATTCTATGTCCTTTGATGGAACAGCACCGATTTCAAAGGAATATTCTACCCATCTTCTAGAAAAATACGATACCTATTGCATCCTATCATCTGCAGCAACATAGTCTAGAAGGCGGCCAGTTCTTTTGTCGTCATTTTAGAAATCTCTGTTGCTTTTCTAAATAGCTATAAAGAGATGTTTGTGTCTTCAGCATCTGATTAACGCACTCTGAGCTTCACAGATGGTCCATGTTTTCCAGTTGTCAGTTCATCTAGGGAAATCTTGTTACAGTCCTTGACTCCCTTTTATATTTAGACAAAGATGTGTGCAGCATTACTACAACTTCTACTGCAGACGACACCTTTATCACCTTTCTCATCAACTTATTAGGCACCACCATCAAGTGATAACTATCTCAAAGCCCAAAGATCAGCACTGCAAAGATCTGTGTGGTAAAGAATCCTTGTCTTCCACTCCCTTGGATTTCTGACATGATTTGTGACACACCAGCTGCTGTATTTTCACAATGAAGAAGCTTTTACAAGCCATTATTAAATCTATAGGAAGAAGGATCTACAAATAAATCCTCTTGTTATGGCCCATCTTCAGTTACGGACAATCTTGTCATGAAGCGAAGAAGTACCTCAGCTTAGAGGTTCCTCTTCCAAACTGTGACTGCCAGACTGTTTTGTCCCACTAGTGCCTTCAGTAGCAACCCACAGGTTCTCAGTCCCTATCAGGGACTGCACCCATCATGAGACACTGGGTATCTTCTCTTTGATAGATATGTAAATTTCTAAAAGATCAAAGAGTTTGTTTATAAAATAGGTGTCTGTGCTGAAGCTAGAGGGACATATCTTGCTTAGGAAGAATATGCTTTCTACCATGCTTCATGTCCAAACTCTCCGCTACAAATGTTGTATTGAGTTCAGTCCTTCACCTGAAGGCCTTAGCGAAGTTTGATCACAGAAGCAAACATTGAGATTTGCTTTTCTTGAAAAAAAAAAAGCTGACCAGAAAGGCAATACTGCCATACCCTAGACATCAGCACCCTGCTCTGAAGACTTGTCTTGCTTCTAAAGATTTTGAGACTGAGAGATTTGAACTGATCTCTCCTGCCACTTGTATTGAAAATACCTTTTTGATATAAAAAATGTCAAAAGGATCTCTGACCTAGACATGAGAAATAACTTTCTTCTCTCATTGCTCACTGTTCATTACATAATGAAAACAACTGAAATAAGATTCTTTTATGTGTATGCATCTGTACACAAACTCAGTCTTGATATCTTTGTATTAGAAAAGAACCCTGACTTGCTAACCTACACACACATGTACTGGCACACTGTGTTAAATATATGCAGTTCTTCAGGAGGCCATTGCACCATCTTCTTAAAAGCCCAACATACCTATGCCTTTGACACAACCTAAAACTGATGGAGTATTCATGCCCTCTAACAAATAGCTGAAATAGAAGCTGAAACTATAACGTCACTGAAACCTCATGAGGGCAAAACGGGAAAGGCAGAACGAGTTACCCCATGGTGTCTCTATGGATGGCCAGGATGTCCCTAGGATGCACCCAGTTTGGGGACAGCTTCCTTCCATGGAATTGCATGATGGGATCTTTGTAACCTGGGTTTATTTTTGTCCTAACAAAACTGAAGCTTTTCCATTGACATTTCTAAGTCAACATTGGATTCTGATAAGACTTATAAGACTGTGTTAAGCAGCCAGGGCTGCAAATAAACGGTAAGTCTCAAGGGGTAAGTATGAACTCTCCCTACACACGTGTGTACGTGTGTGTACACACATACGTGCTGTGTTAAGCAGAGAGCTGGGATGGTTAGCTGCTTGAAAAGAGGTTCCTGATTGCAATTGCTTGTTAACAATTCTCTCTCTTCCTGCTCATTCAAGATTCTTTCAGCTCCAATCCATAGGAGTAACTCTATGAAAGGGTGTAAAGAAACTCATTTGCCTATGTGATAAATTTTAATATTCTGTCTTTTTTAGTCACAATCACAGCAAAAGGAAACCAGAAAACAACATACTTAGGGGTACATGTTCCACAAAGCAGGGGACTGGGGGAACATACTGTTCACTAAAAATAATGCTTGTCTCTGACCTGCTGCTCCGAGCTCCTGGCGGTGAAGAGGGCAGCCCGGCGGCTGTAGCTGCTGAGTTGTTCCCAGCGCCAGGCTCAGCACTGGTGCCCTCCTTGCTTCAAGGCTAACAGCAGCTTTCTGAGATGTACAGATAACTCAAAATCTAAGCACGAATGGGAGAGAGGTATTTAATAGGCAAACAAGATAGACACAAAAATCAATAGTCCCAAGAAAGAAATAATTGACAAGGCAGCAACTGAGGAAAGAAAGTTTAATGCTGTCTGCCTCTAAGGCATGATTTCTTCCTCCCTCAGTCAAGCTGAAGGCCCCATTTCGTAAACAAGTTTTCCCTGGAATTCACGTGCCAATGCATGCTTGATTATGTCCGAGTTCTCTGTCACTTCCACTCTACTTTCTAATCACACAAATCAATCATAAAGTATCCTTACAGGGCTCATAATATATATACTTATAATGTAGGAGTTGTACTGTGGGAACTCAGAACATTGTGAAACAGCAACAAGATTCAACAAGGTCTCTAATGTCTCAGTCACCACTAGGAGCAATCAGTTGGGTATACTAATGTATTTTGGACTGGAAGAGAGATAAAAGGCCTAGGAAAAAAAAAAGCGCTGTATCACAGCAATGGAAAAGACAGGAAAATATGATGGAACACAGTTTGAAAATGAGTGAGTACAAAACATCTGATGACGTAAAAAATGGTGTAAATGACAGACATTACGGATCAGGGTCAACTATCATTGGCAGTGGTAAAAGCAGTGTAGTTTCTACAGGCTTGGAAGGTAACTAGTATATCTGGCAGTTCAGTCAGTAACAGAAAACTGGATGGAGAAGCAAGAGAATAAGCTGGGAACTTACTGAAAGTGTCTGTGCATGAAGTGCTAAAAACCTGTTTGACTACATATAGACCTGTCCAAATCTTTCTGAAGGTAGCTCAGCCTTGATGTAAAATTGGTTAGTATCACTGTCAATAAACTCACATTTTAGAGAAATATAACTAAACACACCATTAGAAAACACAGGTTAATGCTATCTAAAAAGAAATTCAAATGACATGTTATTCCTTTGTTATTAGGTGTTACCAGGCAGTGTCATACTGAATAAATGCAGTAACATAAAAAAAGAGGAATAGGGATTGATCCTGCAGTTCATAGGCTTGTAGGGAGCTCCTATCCTAGCTTACAATTAAAAGACTTTTCTACAATTATTGACTCATTAACTGGTAATAGTGCAGATTAGAAATAAGTATTTAAGATAAATGTCTGGCATATTTGCAAAAAATCTAAGGTTTTGATGACCTCCTTCCCAAGCTTCCTTCTACAACTCTGTTTCGGTGTGACTAATGACAGGAATGACATTCACTCCGCTCTGTGAAGAGAGCACTCCTTATTCCTTCAAGTTCAGAGGTGCCTACATTTCTCCAAACTGTTTGGCTCATCACTCCTAGGTTAATTTTACTTATGAATCACGTTGCATGGTTTGGCATACACAGCCATCCTGGAAGTGTCATGAGGATTTGATGTTCTAAAAACAGGCTGTATGTCATACAGTTTCCATGAAAGCATTCTTTAACATAGGTCTAGATAGCTTAAAAGCTGCATTTTAGCACTGCTTCTGTTAAAGAGAGCATAGAAATTAATTACAGAATTTAGAGATGCTAAAATCACATAAGATTAAGATTTTTTTTTCTCCTTCTATGAAATAAAATCATTTATCTGTTTTAGCTCTCCACATCTAAAAAAGCAAACGTTTAACCCCATTCAAGTCAATGGATTTAGACCTAGGATGAATTTGGCACGGAGGATGACACTGCCTGTGCTTAATGTGAACCTGCCTTGTCTGAAGAAGCTATCGTTACAATTCATGGCAGGATTGAAATGTCAGTGACGGACAGGACTGCTACTTTAGTCATGTCACGTATCTCAATGTCAGAACTCCTCTTGTAAATGACATTTCATTGCCACCACGTACCAAGTTTCAATGGTGAGAATAAAATAAAATGTTAATAAGCAGTCATATCAATGATTTCCCTAAAGCTTACAAGGCAAAAATCATCATTTTTCACTTAAAAACAGGGCAAAAAGATAATTTATCTTTTTCTTGGCTTTATCTCAAAATAATTTAACATTAAGTAACATGAAATTAGTGACTAAAGAGCAAATTGCATAGGAAAACTAAGCCCAGGTTTGAAACGAGAGTTTACTCCTGAAGCTTTAAATCATTTACGTTGTAAATTTTGAACTGCCAAAGGAAAAAAATAACTGCAAAGAAAAGAAGTAACTCAATCCTGCCTCATCATCTGTCTGAGCCTATGAAAGGAATATACTACTCATGTATTACTAAAATAACTGGAAGAAAAAGCTTGCTGGAAGAAAAAGTTTTGCTTTGTGTCACTCACGCGAGGAATTACATTTGAGAGGACACTAATATAATAATATTGTACTATTTAAGTTATTTTACGTTCTGAAAACATGTTGCTGAAAATGACATCAAATTCTAGAGCATGGATATTTCTCTCTTCAATAGTTTTTCACAAGCACTGAAGCTAACATGATAAAACACGGCTACACTGTAAGGAAGAGGCAGGGAGCAGGTATACGAGGGGATATGAGTAAGCGCCATGACTCAGCTCCCAAGTCACACAATTGCCTGCATGACTTATGCATCCAAATAGCCATCTGCACATTCAAATACCCTAGTTGGGATTGTAGTCACACAACTGTGCATAAATACTAGCTTTTCTCTCCTGAAAATGTGACCATAGTCAATTATCAAAATTTCAGCTCCTAAAAACAACAGGAAAATAAGCCATAAAATCAAAAAATTGCTCTTTGGGATCTCATGAATCCAAAATAATTTCTGTCTCTGGAACTTAAAAATGGTACTAGGCAATTTCAAAGGACCTTTTCAATCAAAGCAGTAGAGCACACTACTGTACTTCTCCCCTGGGACTGCCAAAATTTTCCTTTACTCATCCACAGCTGGTAGAGCTGTTCCTTTATCCCAAGCATTAGCTGTGTGTGTTTGCAATACCAAGTGCCCTGTCTTTCATCTCCACTGCCAGGTGTGGTGTCTGCGTCTACGTGTCTAGGACAGCACTGAACAGAACAGCAAAGGGAATATGAACTTCTGGGAGCACGGGCCGTCAGAATAAAACTATATCTAGCTACTGCTGGAGAAAATAACTGACTTGGGCAAGTCATTATGGGCAAAATCTAAAATAACTGCAGCTGTTCTTTACGTTTGAGGCATTTGTGTCAGAGGATCTGAAGATCCTCGGACTGTGGTGGAATCACAGCTCAATCAGAAGAAAGTTAGAAAAAATCATTATTTTTAAAGGAAATGCAAAGCAATTCTTTCAAAATAAATATGTATATAACTAAACTATTGATAGGATTAAGTGGCCATTCGGAAATCAGAAGTAGGATTTGCAAAGGAAAATATACTAGCAAATACTACACCTAGTAAGTTGTTCTTTAGCTTGTTACGGGTACCTGAGGACACGTGCCAATGTTGCTACTCCATGTGTACACTGACAGCTGGCTCTAAAATTTCCAAAGGTGCTCCACATTGCCTTTGGTTAATATGCAGAGAGCTGTTTATGCTCTAGTTTGAAATGCTCATTTTCCTTAGAGCCGAAGTGAGGCACCGGGGCCTGGGAGTGGGTCTGAACCTGCCACCCCTTGTCAGCGGCTCTCCTGTTTGCATGAGAGAGAACCAGGTGGCTTTGGCTGAAGTTCATAGAAAACAGTCCAATTTCTCATTGGTAAAACTGCAAAGGGATGTGAGTGTATTTTACAGAAGCAAATCTTCACCTCAGCCTGAGACATAAGGGGAGAGAGTTGGGGCGTTCCACATCCTATTCTCATTCTTTATAACACGATCATATTTACAATCTAACTGCCCATTGCAATTGAAAGTGTTATTTTCATAAAGGTTGTTTTCTAAGACCAACTTTCAATCCTTTTCACAACAGAGGCTGCCAACTTTAAAAGAGGATAAGTGAACAGACGTTGACACAAAACAAGGCTTTAAGCTCCAGCTCTCTAGCTGCAGAGTACTGCCTTCCCAGAAGGGCACTTTGTACTAAGCAGTGTGGTTGGTTCCAGGGGGCAGGAGCTGCCCTGCAGCAGAGTGCCACGTGCACCCGAGGCAGACTGTGCACCCGAGGCATTGACTGTACAGCTACACATTACACTAACATGCAACACCCGGCAGCCTGGGGAATACCCTGACTGCTTGGGGGAAGCCACGCGGGGCGGCTAGGATTGATGGTGCCCAAATAGCAGTACATGGTTTACTTCTTAGCTATGTAATCAGCATTTAAGTTCCATCTCTGCACTCCCTCATAACTCGCAGGCCCTTTGAGGCTCACTTTTCAGTTCTGCGTTATGTATCTGCTAGATTCTGGTTCTCCACAGTATGAATTTTCTTATATCCCTTTTTGCCAAGCTGTTCCCTTGGGGATTTCCTCATAGTCAATTTATATCACTAGCTGCTCTAAAAAGTTGTGCCTCCAAGAGGTTAAACAAATATATTTATTAATGCTTTTCTTAATGGTCTGAGATGGAAGTGTATCGAAGTACCTTAGAGTATGAGCTAGGAAATACTCATTAAAATAGTTGACTATCAAAATACCTATCCTCACCTTTTCCACAACTGCAATTTCCACAATAATTTGCTGCAAAATGAGTTTTTCGTATCCTTTCAATAGCATTTGCCCACATCAAAAAGCCAGAAGGCCCTTTTACCAAGTTACCATTTATAGTTGGTGAAACAATTAAATAATTTTTAAAAAATCAATTGAATTTTTTCTATGAAAAAAATTCGTATCCACATATGCACAAAACACATATTTAAATACCTAGTTAAAAAAGCAGCAATAAGCAGAAAATACAAAGACTGTTTGTGGGAATTTTATATACATCTATATTTTTGAGATGAGACAGGGTAGAGGTGAATGCACCTCCATTTGGCTATGTGAATTCTGCCCTTGTCTAAAAATACAGATATATTACAGTAATTTTCAGTCACATCCTAAATCAATAAGAACTTTGCAGTCCCAAGTTTGAGGGAAATTTGTTTATTCAGTTATTTTTGCTATGCTTTAAGCCACAATACATATCTGTATGTATCTCAAGAGGAATTAAAAGCTGGTTTGATAGCATTTCAAATTCAGAGCTCTCTTTTCCTCTCTTTTCCCAATGAAAACTGTATATCTAGAAGAGTATTTGCCAGAGATGCTTACGTAAACTGCTTTGTTAATATATTTTAAATGTGGCAGTGAAAGGAGTTCTGTTATTTATTGCATCTGCGTATTCTAAGAGTCATAAATAGTTTATTCCTATGGTTGTTTACTGGACTTGCCTGCGGTACTCTACCTAAACCTTCAGGCAAAACTCCACCTGTTCTATTGTAGGAAAGACTTCTGACACTGTCATTCTGGTTGTCAAGTTGTTTGCCTAGATGAATAACATTTTTTTTTGCCTTACAGGTGGTACTGTGAAGGGAAGGAGCTTGAAAACTCACCAGACATCCAAATTATCCAGGCAGGAGATCAACACTCCTTAGTTATCGTTGAAGCTTTTGAGGAGGATACGGGACGTTACTCCTGCTTTGCTTCAAACATCTATGGAACGGACTCCACTTCTGCAGAGATTTACATAGAAGGTAACATTAGCAATTGCTTCAGAATGAAAATGGTAATACAAGGTTATGATACAATTATGTATCTTGTATAGTAACTGTGTATTAGATTGTTGCATGGCATACGTACCAGGAAGCTAACAGTTTCGGTCCTTATTAACATGTTCATTATATCTCTATAAAAAACTCTTCAAACCAGTATTATGAATTTCTGTTATTTGTATTTTTATTGTGCTGCTTCTCATATAGATCTCATTGCAAGATGAAAGTCTACTGAGACCCCAAAGCACCCTATATTTTTTGTGTATGGTGACTTTATGGAAAAACCAGAATCTTTATTTTTGCATCTAATTTTTACACACTTCAGTCATTAGTATATATTGCACATAGAATGCCTTTTGCCCTTTTTAATGGGAAAATATAGAAGCAGCCTGATCCTAACTTGCCATTGGGACTTTGTAACAACCAAAACAGAGACAGAAGTTAGCAATTTCATCTTTGACTTGTGCTACAGATGCTGCAAACAAAACAAAGCATTCATCAGCTAAGTTAAGAGTCTTTTCTTCTGTTATGCTATTTAATAATCCTACCTGTCTTAAGATGTTTGTTAATTCTGTTTTCTTCTTTTTTTCTTTCTTTTTGTTCCTTTTTGCAAGATTTAAAATTGCATATAGTAGGACTGTTTATTTAAAATACACATGGAGAATCTTTTTTTTTCTCCTTCTGTATTTCTGCAGTTGCCAGGCAGATAAATATCATACTGAGTACCAGCACTGACAACAGTGAGAGCATTCATAAATTAAAGTACTTATCCCCCATTAATACAAGGGTGCATTTCCCTGGCTGTTGTTCTTCTTTCATATGCCTAATCTGACGCTGAAAGGACAAATCCTTTTTTTAGCATTTGCACTGCCCTGACATTACTGGTGATCTCTGTGCTTGGCAGGGATGTGCTGGCTCTCCAGCCTGGGGCCAAGGCCTGTTTGTACCTCTCTCGGGGGGCTGGCTGGAAGCCACGGCTGGTGGAGATGCTCGCTGGCAGGGCCCGCACAGAGAACGCGTGTTCCAGATGCAGCAAAGGCTGAATCACAAGTGCAAAATGCCTCAGCAAGACAGCTGTTAGTAAACACAGCTAATGACTTCGTTTCCAGACTGTGCTGGAAAGCACTAGCAGAAGAATAATAAATACGATTCCAGATCTCTCTCTCTCCAAGCTTCTTTTTTTCGCTTGTTTGCTTCTCTTTATTCATAGAATTGGGTGTCTGAGGAAAAGTGCTCTTTGAGACCAAATCACACTAGTGTCATTTCAGAAAGCAGCTGAGGAGCACACAGGTGGGCATTCACTCCTGGGTGATGTTTTCCTCATCTCAGCTGCACATTGCGCAAAATCTGCATTATGCCAAGAGCACTTCTGTATCTTATCCAACAGGCAGTTTTGGTTAATTTTCACAGCAACGTGATTCTTTCTTTCTCTACAGCTTTATACTGTATATAATTAGAATGTTCTAGGGGAAGATTTGCGTGATTCTTAAACAAATTTCTCCAAAAATCACCCTGCTAAATAACTTCTTTTTTTTTTTCTTTTTTTAGGAGTCTCCTCTTCTGACTCTGAAGGCGAAACCATCAAAGACGAAATGGATCAGTAAGTTTGAAATACATTAAATCTTCCCATTTCTCATAGTTAAGAGAAAAAAAAGAAAGAGTAAGTGCAGAAATTTCATTTTCCATTAATATTTTGCAGCTTCCAACATGTTAAGCTTTGATTTGGGCTTTTTGTTATTGTAACCGTTTTGCAAACAGGCATATGTTTGTATGTTCAACCAAACTTTAAAATATGATTTCAAACTTTAATATTAAATGTAGATGAAAGAAGAAAGATTAAGCTAATCTTAGCTAATTAAGCTAAGATTAAGCTAATAAAATTAATTTACTAAAACAGATGCTGCTTGATTACACCTGACTTAAAAATTGAATTATCTGTCTTGAAAACACAATGCAGTAAAATTTCTCACATGGAAATATGGCATGTTATAAAGACTTTGGCAGAAGATCACTATTGATGGACTACTTATATTTAGCATAACGAAATTAAATATGTGGAGTTAACTGAATTGGTGAATATATAGGAAAGAACAACTGCCAGATGTATTTAACCTCAAGCCTCAGAAATGTTTTATTATTCCTAAGTGAAATCCATTCCCTGTGAATTTAGCACCTGATCCAGTGCTGTCAGAATCAACAGAGGTCCTTCTACCAGCTGGGAAGATAGTCTGATTGAAAACCAAAATAACTGATGCTTTATGTTGAACTCCTCTGTACACGAGTTTAATCCTCAAAGCAATGGTGTTTTATAAAGACAGTATTTTGATCAGGCAGACTTATATACCCTTGGCTTTTCTGTTATTTATTAAGGCAGGTTATATTCATTGCATATTTCATTTGCTTTTAAAATACAAGAGAAAATACTACAGTGTGTTTGACTGACCTTAAGCAGACATAAGGCAAATCCTTACACATTTTTTTTTACCTCAAAGTCAAATACTTCAGATTGGATTGGTTCATTGACTTTGACAAATTTAGGGGTTAATATAAAACATTAGAGCAAGAAAGTCTCATAGGTTTGGGGATCATTTGCTAAGTTTTCACAGTTTTAGCTCAGGCTTTCCCAAATATCTCAGGTATTACATTATTTTTCTCATTTATGTCTTTATACTGTAGTGCCATGCAAATGTAGTGGTGATCCTGATCATTTGATAGTATCTCTAGGTTACTTACCTCATGAAATTTTGAAGAAATGTGTTGCATTCTGTATTTCTTAGGAAAAAAGGAATGCTACTCTGACATTGTAGCTGGATGTCCTCAAATGATAGAGTTACAAAAGATGAGGCTTGGGTTAGCTTCCAGCTGTCATCACAACAACCTGGGCACCTGTAATTGAAGGCAGTTAATATGAGAACATATTAACTAATATTAGAGCAGCTACTAAAAATGTTCACAATTTCAAAGGAGAAATTAGTGATCTCAGCAATTGCCTGTTCACCCTGCGTGAAGGCTGGCTTTCCTGAGGGGCCTGGTGCATGCCAGAGCAGCCAGTGCAACACTTGATGAAACAGAGTACAAACACTGCCTTGTTTGCATTATTTCACTTACCAGTAAAATTCTACAGGGCAAACTGTTTTACTTCCATATAGAAACAGCCTAACAGGAGTGAACAGGTGCTAACCCGTACACTTCCACAACTCCATCACGTTTGCCAGAAAACTTGTCTACTTTTTTTTAAGCAGAAAATTATTGATTTTGTGCCCAAGCAGCCTGAAATATTTCCATGCTCATACAGGCACCCATCTTGGGGAGCAATCTGCACAACTGAGAATCTGTCCCTGCCCTTCCACACTGCTCTGAGGTGGTTTTCAAGAGTCAAATTGAGTTAATCCAGGCCATTTTATTACATTTGGCATAACTATGTGTAACTATGTATTTATGAGCAACATGCAGCCAGTTTCTTAGGAAATGCAATTTACCTGGGAGCACACGTCTGTATAGATTGGAGGGAATTCGGCCGAGATTGCTGTGTCACTGGGAAGGACGCAGCTAGGGGACACACGGAGCTCAAGCTTCCTGCCACACACAAGTACCATAAGCAACAGCACCTTCTTTTTGGTTCACATTTCACAGTACCCCAAGGCCAGCTGACGTCTCATCGAACGCAGCATCCCCTGCTGCCAAAGCTGCAGCCAAGCATCCAGAAACCCCCAAGGCACCATCTGCTGCGGCGCAGGCTGCGTCAGCGCCAGCGAATCAGGTATGGGAAACAGCCCGGTGTTCTTCCCAAGGAAAGGCGCAGGCCCAGCTTGTGCGGTGCAGGCAGCCACCTAACCTCTAGCAGCGGGAAGGGGAGCTTTGGGGCCTGGCGGGACCCAAATTTGTCCCTGTTCTCCAAAGGCCCTGCATGAATCTGAGGAGCTGCTAGTCCCATCAAAAGAAAAAACTCAGTTATTCGAGTTGTGCAAGGAGGTTTTGCCAAGAGGAAAGTAATTTCATGTGCCTTTCACTGAGGAGGATCAACAGGGCGATACCCCACCTCTGTAAATCGTTTCGGCTGGGGCAAAGGAGAAGATTTACAGTAGCAGTCACACACGTGACAACTCCCCTTATTTACAGCCAGGAATATTTTGCAAGTCAGATGCTTAAAAGAAGTCTACAACAAGCAGCCTACATAGATTTGCCTTCCTGAAGTATCTGACTATTATAATCCACTGCAATAAAGTCTTTATATATATATGTGTATATATGATTAACACAATAATTAAAATAGTATTTATAGTGCTTTGGCTGCAAACCATTCAGGAAGATGACTATGAGCAGTCTACAAGACAGCAACTTTTATTTCCCCATTAAATATTTTGTTTTGCACTTTTCCCCAACAAAATCTCCTTTGCATCTTTCCAAGAGCATAAAATACACCTCACATGAGCTTGTAAAATGCTTTTACAAGCACCTGCCTGGCCATTCAGCATAAAGGCAGCTATCTACTTCCTTCTGGAATACAACTTTCTTAAGGCAAAACTCTTTATTTCTAATATACAGCACCTGAATGATTTTTTAGCCTAAGGCTCTATAACAGCAATGCTATACTAAGCTCAATACATTTTCAATGTGCAGGCTCAGAATATATTTAACCTAGAATAAAATTTTTATGTTGTAAATGGGGAAGCCCTCTCCCCTTAACATCCAATAGAAGCGATAGCTGAGCTTTTTAACTTTCGAAGGATGTGAATGGCATGCAAGGACACATGCTTCCCCTGCATATGGAAAAACACCCTCCCTATACCTGCACTTCCTCACATGCTATTTTGCAATCCACAGGCTCAAAGCCCCGCTAACTATTTGCAAGGACTGGATGGAAGACCTATAATAGCTGCTCCTGTATTTACAAAGGTAATCTGTTTTAGGACATATTTGAAAATTGAAGACAGTAATTGTATGGTGTAATTAAAACTTCATAGCTATCAATGGCAAAAAAAAAACAGATTTATAATTTTATTGCAAATTTAAGTGGCTTTATGAAATCTTATGAAAAAATCAGTGTTACCTCTGGACCAATAAAACTGACTACGTCTATTTGTTTTCTGTGTCAGATGTTACAGGATATTTCGGCTTCCGAAGGGCAGCTTGTTGTCTTTGAATGTCGGGTGAAAGGAGCGCCTTCTCCAAAGGTTGAGTGGTACAGAGAAGGAACACTCATAGAAGATTCCCCAGATTTCAGGATATTACAGAAAAGTATGTCTCCTGGGTGGAGGTGTTGGATCTAACACAATACAGGCATGCAACAAAATTCCTAGCATAGCAACACCTGGTATTTCGTATTGCAATAGGAAGAACTACCTAAGCCATATTTTATGACAATAAAAACTGGGTCTCAAGAAACAAAACTGTGGTGAATTGAACAGAATATTCACAGGTATTATCTGTAAGACAAAAACTGGTTCATTGAAACAGCTTCAAGTTTAAGGATTTTGGCCAACTGAAATAAAGAAAAACGTTTAGTAGACTTGACATACCGCTGGGTACAAGGGTTGGCTGTGTCTGCCATTCCTTAAACAGAAAACTGCATCAAAAGGAATAGTGCATCATATAAAAAATAATAATTTTATAGTTAGTCTTTAAGAAAAAAATGTATTGACAAACATATTCAATCTATTAATTCTGCTCTTCTTTTTAGAACCGCGATCTATGGCTGAACCAGGTGAGTATCATCTAAAGGTTTATTCTGTTTTCACAAATAAAATTTATTTTAACTCCATAATGAAGTTAAGGTAACTTCAAAAAAAATGTTCTATAGCTACTGGTTAGTTGCATTTCACTGTAGAATGTTTGATATAAAATGCACTAAAATTGAATTAATTTTAGTTTTTTGAGGAAAATAATATTTCTTTCTTGCTTTGATGCAATCCTGTCCTAGGCCCTAACTGCTACCTTCTTGCAAGCTAAAGATTAGCAAAATGAACGTAGGAAAGTCTCCTGTGTGTCGGGATCAGAAGTACACCAGATGATGCAGGACTGAGCTATTTTTATCTAGTTTACCAGTTAGGGAGCATTGCATCAGATGTTTAGCCATGTCAGCCATTCCCTTTGCTCCCTACCAGTATAACATGAGAGTGGCACATCAGGTGTTCATCCCTGGCATCAGAAAACCCCAGAAAGGTGGCTGGATTTGCTCATTTTGAGGGTCAGAAGAGACCGTAGGCCACTCTGCAGGATTTGAGTAGCATGGGCTGTGATGAGCTCTCCAGGACACCGTCACTCTCGTAGCTCTGCTCTTCACTGTTAGAAAACAAAACTGCCCCTCTTAAGAAGCAGATTACTAAGAGGGTTTTAATTTTTACGGAACATAGAACTCCATAACTTTTCTCCCTGCCCAATTAGAAGGTTTGAAGCCAACAAGTGTCTTGAAAAAGACTGGGAAAACCTGTATTTTCCCTCTCTCTGCAATGTCTCTCTCTCAGACTTGGGAAGGAAAAATTGGAGCTTCTACCAGGAGGCCCCATTCCTTCACTGTGCGGTGGCATCACTGCGGAGTCATGTGAAGCAGTTTGCAGAGGGTGATCTTTGGGCGCAGTTGTCACAGCCTCATCCCCTGCTACTCATTCAGAAGGAATCTGGATTTCCACACACGCAGTGGTTGGCAAATCCAAGTACTCTAAACTAGACGCTGTAATGCCTTAAACCAGTTCTATAATCCTAGCACTATAATAAACTATTATTTTCCTATATCTGCTAGCAAGTCATCTCTGTGTTGCTACTAGACTCTCCTTGGTGATGACATGAAATTAAAAAAAAAAAAAAGTGTTTTAGTCTTCTACTGAAATATTGACAGAATATTAATCCCATGTTTCTTTAGGAAAGATTCTTGCAAAATGGTAGCAAAGTAGGCACTGACTACTGAAGAAACGTCATCAGCCCACATTTGTATATATTTGAATATTCCTTCCTCCCCAGCTGCCTGAGCAATCAGAACATGTAAAATGCCACCACCATGGGTAGTCCTCAGCCGGTAGGTGCTGCCTACACATGGCAGATACTGCCCAGACAGGGATATCCTGACCCTAGCTTGATTTTTGAAGACATCATTTTTCCTAGCACAATTTTGCACGCACATTTTGGGTGCTTACACCTGTCTTCCCAAAGAAGGGAAGAGGCAGCTTTCCATAGGGACGGTTAGCAGAACGCCCCCAACTGCAAATGTGCTCTGGCATTTCTGAAAAATGCTGACCTCATTATATGCATTTTACATCTCCTCACCTTAAGGGTGTCTAGGCTTGAATTGGCCCTGGCTAATTAAAACTAATCTCTCACTGTGCAAAGAGATGTAGAAAACCCATGTTTTAGTGAGCTGTGAGGCCAGAGCCCACTCTAGGCCTCCAGGTTTCTCCCGTGCTAAGCTCTTCAGGGAGGAAGGCTGCATTTCGCGTGCATCAGAGGGCATTTTCTCAGGCTTTGCAAGCCCTGCCGACACCTGTTCTTCCTCGCGCAGGAGGGTGCCAGCTGCTGCAGACAACGCGGCAGCAGCTGCTGCACACAGGGCTGCCACAACACGGGGGAACAAGGAGCAAGGGGAGCAAGGTGGAGAACGTCCAGGAAACGCCCCCCGCGGGGCAGGCTGGTCTTTGTTCACTTGAAGTAATGACACTGCTCTGATGTTTTGCAGAGGAAATTTGTACTCTGGTAATCGCGGAAGTTTTCTCAGAAGATTCTGGCACTTTTACATGCACCGCGAGCAATAAATATGGCACAGTGTCTAGCATAGCGCATCTATCTGTCAAAGGTAAGAGATGCTTTTAGTCCTCCTTTTCCAAGTGCCCTTCCCCAGTTAGAAAACCACTACTGATGCTAGTGCAGGAGCAGGCAACACCACAGAACTCCCCCAGGGCAGCCCTCCCGCATCAGAAACTCTTGCTGACCGCCTGATTTGGGCACTAGCACTTGGGAGTTTTAGTTGAGGCCCAGCAGAGCTCCGCACAACTGAAAAAGCTGCAGCTCCTCCGCGAGGAAAGTTTCTAATCTGAACAGGCTGGAGGAATTCAGGCAACATGACTGGGATCTTCCAAACTGGTTATGGCTCTTTTTATTCACTTACAATAGCCCTTTGTTAGAGAAATTGCTTGTTAGGTAAATGAGGTCAAATAACTCATTCCAGCAGCCAGAGAGGACTCAAGAACAAGTTTTGCAAATTGCAAATTGCAACTTTCATTATTTTATCTTTTATATGTCATTTATATGTAACCAGGAGTTTAAAATTTGCAATTTTAGCATCTGAAGACAGGAACAACGCCAATGTTGCTGCTCTTCATACCATGAGCTCAATCAGCCTAATTGCTGCCGAACAGCAGCCGCCGGCACCTACTCCACCCAATCCCGCGGCCAACCAGCCCCCGAAGCCTAAACTCGAGGGGGTCCTGGTGAACCACAACGAACCCCGCTCCAGCTCTAAGATAGGGCTCCGTGTGCACTTCAAGCTGCCCGAAGACGATAAAAGTGAATCCTCATCAGAGGATGGACCTGGGGCTGCAAACCAAGGCAGACCCAGCTATTTCCCCGAGAAGATAAATGGACAGGCAACGAAAATACCAGAGCCAACATCACCCTCCAAGGAACCCCCACCGGTGCTGGCTAAACCAAAGCTGTAAGTAAAAGGGATTCTGCGTCCCAGTAGGGTCACTGGTTTTTATTCAATATCTCTCGTTATTACACGTACCTGACCTATGCATTGATGAGGACACTGTTGCCCTACTTGCAAAAAATTCAGGCACAGTAAAAAAATGAAAAAAGACGGTCTGTATCACACGGTGCTGCTCTAACTAAACTGCAATCTCAGAAGCTAGATTTTTTTCTGTATATCCCTCTTAGGAAAAGTGTTTTCCAGATTCAAGAGGACAGATATTTTCTGCTCTTAAATATCTTTTTAACTCCACAGTGGCTTCTGCTGTAAATAAAAGATGAACAATACTGTTAGTGTGCAGAAGAAACCACAAGTAGCTTTTTCAAATGTCTCTCTCTCTCAATTCTGAGTATGTAATTTTGACAAAAGCAAATATATTTAGTCTAGTATATTTATTTCCTATATATGCTACAGGAAGCAAATGCAGGTCCACAGAGCTATACCTCATGACTTTATATCCCACAAATTAATCTCCTCCTAAACAGAGAAACACCTGAAGATTTAGAATGAGGTGAAACCATTTGCACTATTAAGCACCTGCAGGATTAGTGCACTGTGAGTCTGAGGGAAAATTTTAAGGAGGATGTAATTTTTTTAGAGGACCATTTCTGGAACACGCAGAAGAAACAACCTTTCAGCATGTTCAAAACCTGCCCAAAGAGCATATGGAGACCTTCACTTCATTTCTTAATCAGGGAAAAGCTTTAACTGAAGGCCCAGGAAGGACTTTATAAAGGAATTTGTTGATATTCTTAAGCAAAGATGTGATTTCACGTTACTAACTTTACACACAAGAAAACAGACTCACCTATCACGTAGCAGAGGCAGAGCTTGGAGCAGTAATTTTTTATTTGTTAGCCCCATATTCAGAGCCTTGTTTTCCTTCTGCACTATAGAGCATTTAAGGGGTAAGCAGAAACCCTATTTATTTGCCCAGCACTTGCAAAAGGCAGGATTTCTCTCTCAGAAAAAAAAAAAAGTAATAAGTTAGTGCACTATTATGTAGGCAAAAAAGATGGGGATTATACAATTTCAGCTCTGCAATTTTCCAGTCTTTGAAAGCCTGAAATTGTTATTTTAATCTACCTCTAATGTGATTTTTGTGCCACAAACCATAGAAACAATAATCCTTTAATCTAAAAAGGAGTTCTGTTGACTTCATGGATTTGGTTTGGCAATATCAGTTTTGGCTGATCTCTACTCTTCTACTATGTTTAATGTACTTCTACATTCCTACATTTTTAACACTGTTTAGTGAATATTGAACAGATTATTACATGATCATTTTTCATATCCTCCACACTCTTTATGTTTTTGGAATGGGCAAGAGTAAACCTATTTTCCATATGCTTTATTTCCACACAATAACAAAATAAACCATTTGACATGGCAAAATAATTTCCTTAACTGCAATAAACCCTGAGAACCTACGTACTATCCCTGAGGACAGCAAATAGCATCTAGCAAATAAAAATGGCTTGAAATGAATGATGGGCTCTCTTGCCTGCCACTGAACATCAACATCACCTGAACTGTTTTCTCCTGTGGGAGATTATTACAGAGCTTTATTAGCAAAAATCGCTGGTTTCAGAATCCACTTTAACTGGAGATGAATGACTGCAATCTGCATTGCAAATGCTCACCTCCATTCCTACAGACCCACTCCCTCCTTATTTATGCAAGGGGAGAGTTTACTATGGTGATGTAGAGCAGAATTTGACAATATTATCCCTCAAAATGCCTTCAAGCTTTATATTTCACTGCAAAAATGAAAGAATCTTCTTTAATCAAATGACTTTCTACCATAAAGCTTTTATTGTGACATTGGCAAGGAAAGGAAGAGAAATAAAGTTTTGTTGGGTAGCCTGCTAGCACTATGCTCTTCCCATAATGTCACAGACCATTTCATGTAGCAACTTCCCCTACTGCTTCCCCTACCTCTATGTCACAGGCCATAGACTTCTCCTTGAGCAAATCACATTTGGATAATTACATATGGAAATGTAATCGGACAGTATGTTTGGGGGTTACCACGGCTTATGACCAATTTTGCTCATCTCTATTTCAAACGCAGTGATCAGACGCAGTTAAAACAGCTCCACAACCAGGTCTTGTTCGAACAGCAGCTGCATCAGATTTCCACGAGAGAGCTGTCCCTGAGCTCGGCTTTGCTGCACTCTGCCGCCTCCCTCCAGCAGCAGCCCGCCCCAGCCGTGCTCAAACAAGGCAAAGCCTCTCCTTCGCAATCATTCAACTACACCCGGCCCAAGCAGTTCCTGCCAGCACAGACCACATCACCCACCAGTTCGTCGTCTAGCTCCTCAGCGACCTCGTTCAGCAATGTGCCCCAGGGAACCCTAAGAACAAGTAACAAGGAAAATGTCATAGGAACTTCCCCGGCTGCCCAGTCAAGGGCTTCAGGAGGGTTTACAAGCAAAAGCGAGCAGCCCCTGCCAAGTCCTAAGGAATCCATGGCGCCTCCGTTAACGGTTTCCCCACCGAGTGGGAAGCAGTTTCAGCCCCAAAGTGTGACTCCTGCTCCTGTGTCCCCAACCAGCCGGGTGCAGAATCCAGTAGCGTTTCTTAGTGCGGTTCTCCCTTCCCTTCCCACTGCGCCATCCACTAACGCAATGGGGCTGCCCAGAAGTTCCCCAGTTACGTAAGTAGCCTAAACCGCACACGTCAAAGTGGGGGCAAGAAACACTTGCTATCTAGTGGGGGCTATATAAAAATCAAGACAGAGAAACAGGAGTTTAAAAAGAAATATGGACAAGGATTCTGGAGCACAGTCAGAGATTCCCAGGACTGCCTTAGTAGGAGAAGAGATTTCATGAGCATGCTGGATAAGTCACTCCAAGCCTATTTGTCTATATGAGATATAAAGACATTCTTATTTGATATAAGAAATCAGTGAAGTTTTAAAAGATACTTCATAAGTTATTTCTTAGGCCAGATATCTCTAAGAAAAAACATATGAAAAGGCATCTTCCTGGTTCCAATAGCTTCTATATTTAAAGTCCCCTGGAAAATCTCCATGAAAATTGCCATTAAAATAGCACCAAAAATCAGATCCTATATTATGCTCCAGCCTCCAGTACTTATTTATAAGTAAATAATAGGTTCCTCCAGAAAGCTGAAGCTTAACAGATCATATCACTCAGGTGACAAAAAATACACTGGTTGCTGCATGCTAGTAACAGAATTTTCTTTTAATAGCTCAACGCAGGGATTAACCAAAAAAAATCTGAAGCCTCTGGCGTTATCAACAGATGATTCTATTCGGGACAACAAAGCTGCAGTTTTAAAGGACCTGGAAAGAAAACTGCATTTCAGAGAGGATGAGAGCCAAAGTCAGCAGGTAAGAAAGTATTATTAAAATAAATTCCACTCGTGAACAAGACATGGCTCACACCTTGCCCAACAACAGACAACTGCACGGCTGTGTGGTTGAGCTGCTACGCTACTCTGCAGAGTAACCTTTTGTGTTTAGTGCTGTTTTGGAAAGGCAAACAGGAGCTTGAAATAGGAAGTATGAGGGGATGGAGTTGTAGGGGTTTTACCTTTGCCGTTTCTGACAGTCTCTGTTAGAGAATGGTAGCAATGTAAAACTTCTTTTTCCCTCTCACAGAAGCCTCTGTTTGAATTTTTTTTCACTTTGAAAATTTCTCAAGTCATTGCACATTTGCACACTCACACAAGATGTATTTCTAAAACTAAATAAGGAGCAAAGTAATCAAACAGTGTACAGAAAAGGTTTCTCTTTTAAATACGGTTGAGCTAAAATGCTGTTTTCATTTTTTGACATTAAGCATACTCTTCCAAATCTCATGATATATTTGAATCAATAGGAACTTGTTAGGAACTTAGCAAACAAAGTTTTTGACAGCTGTTACTGGCACTAAACATTGAGGCTGGCATTATTAGCAAAATAACAAGCCTTTTACAAAGCTCAAGGAAGCAATTCAGTCTTAATTGGAATTGAGAAATTCACCAAGCCTAGGCAGTGACATTAAAATGTAGAAATTAAAGAATAAAAAAAGAAATAATATTCCGAGTTTGAAATCACTATGAGGCAAGTCTGACTGCCCTTAACTGACAGCAGGATGTCCCAAGGGCCTCGGGCTCGCTGTTCTATCTGCAGGCAACTGTTCTGCCCTCACCTTGCCATGGAGCCATCTACAGTTGTCCCAGCAGCTCAGGCTTAACACAACAAATAGCAGTTTGCCCTGGTTTGTCCTGAATAAGGGAACTTTTCACAATGTCTATTAGCCCTTCCGACCGAGAACATGCAAGGATAAGCAAAAAGCTATGGAGTCCATGGACAGAATTATCCTCTGCAGACAACTGCAGAGTAATCCCTGTTTTTTTTAATTCTGCTGTTGACCTTTCCTTCTCACAGATCACTCTGCCAAACCACTTTGAGTAAAACAACTGGCAAGTGGTATGTTTTGCAGATGAATCACAAGCGTTACGATTTGTGCTTGCTAGGACAGTAAGACGAATTATTCAGACAGCCACTGTGAAATACCAATCAGTGTTTTGAGTTAGCTGCATGATAACCCCTTTAGAAACAACCGTCACTACTACTGTCAAAGTTATCTGCTGACAGCAAAAGTTATTTATATACTTACTTACTAATCTGTATGAGAGCAAACCAAAATCTTGATTTCCAAGTCCCTCAAATTCAGAAGCAGCTCAAAGCTGGTGCTTCTCTAACTGTTAGCATTATTAGGAAGTGAATGGTATGTAATTAGAAAACAAGTTTTAGGATTGCTCAATAAAAGTCCTGTCATTTTCCCCTCAGTTCCCATAGCGAATCAGTAATGCTTTTATCCTTCTGCATTCGGGAAAGTGACTCCTTTAGCTGACTCTAGCAAATTCAAGTGTGAGTTTTTTTCCTCAGTGAAACAGGGATTATTTAAAGAGACTAGAAGATGCCAAAATGTATTTGCCAAAATTCCTATTGCTTTACCATTCATAGAGAAATCGACATCCCGAGAATAATATATTTGCACATTGAGCTCACCCCCAGACTTGGTAATCTTTTTTCCTCTTGCAGTTAACACAAAATTAAAAACAACACATTTTCATCTTATATAGAGCTTATCTGCATTAAATTGGTTATTATGAGGTCAGCAAAAGGCTGCTTATTCCCTTTCTCGTAAATACTAACACAACTATCTTGTGTATAAGTTATCACAGTATAATGGAGAAGTACAGTATCCAGTGAGAATGTGAAAAGGATGACTTCCTTATATTTTATCCAAGCTATTTTAAAAATTCCTTCTCATAAAATGTATCCTATAGCATTTTTTTTCTTATTGAGAGAATTCTTTTGTATCCTGGTATTTCAAAAGTAGCATTTGATCTCCTTTATAATATCTGTGGAATGAGTATGTAGGAATCATCTAGAATGAAAGCTGCAGATGACAAGTCTGTATCTTACAGTACTGAAACTGTTCTATATTACTATATAAAATGCAGCAATGAACATGAGTGATTTGCATCCTGGTGCTCTATTTATCAGCTGTCACTGACTTCCATTTGAAAAGTGGAGTTTTGGTTATGGGTCACTGTTGTGCACCCAGCACAATATCAAATAATCGAGATGTATTTCTCCCGGTTCACCCCATACATCATTCATCATCAACAATGATGAAATCTAGAATGAGAATGAAGTTGGTAATTCTGCTGATGTTGCATGAGACAGAACAGATTAGCCTGTTCTGCAGCAATAACAGTCTGCAGTGCTGACAGAAATAAAAATATGATTGTGCTGAGATTCTAGCTGCCCAAGTTCTACTTTGCCCAAGTACATGTAGTAACAAGCTGTCACTTTTACCAGAACAACACAAAATACCTATTATTTATGCAAGTGAAGTTTCATCAGCAGATAGGAACATTAAACAAATGTTTAATGGAAAACTATGTGGCAGCTCCCTCTGGCTGTGTCCTGTGTAAGATGCAGACAGCAGTGTGGTTCCTGCCTTATTTTTAGAACAAAGAATAAAGCTCTAGCTGCTTAGAAAACAGTGAAATTATTTGTAGAGCCCAAAGGAATATCCTCACTTTCAGTAGTGAATATTTTACAAGAAATTTCAAAGCAGAACAGATGCAGAGTTTGTCCATAAGTTTTTGGATTATTAAAAGCCATGGCCTGTAAAGCCATATTGAGCACAGAACTCACCACACTTGCCACATCATGGCTAACCCCTCAGCGCTGATATAACAGAATCATCTCCTCACAGTTAGCATATGGAGCAGTCAGCCTCAGAAAGCTCCCAATAAACATCAAGAATCCATTCCCCAGAGCACAAGAATTGACCTTAACTCAGCCACTCTGCACAGCTTTCTGAAAAACAAGCTTCACATCATGTCCAAAAGGGCAGCGAATGTAGACAATTTGGGTGAGAATTAGACCCCAAGGAGTCCTCATGGAAATTTGTTTGTTCTGTAATAGAAATGACAACAGATTTAAGAACTTGTAAAAGACAGGTCTTGGTATTAAGCGGTATAAACTCTCAAAAAACTTGGCACTGAATGCTTGAACAGCCACTCATGCTCCCAAGAGCTCTATCTAACCAACAACCGAGTACAGACAGGTTTTCCTCTGGTAGGGACTGTGCAGCGTAGAACTCGGCACCTAGGAGAGGAACCTGGAGCTTGTCATGCTTCTGCAAACACTCCCGAGCTGCTCGCTCCAGCTGGTGAGTCTGTGGCAGTTGGAGCAGTACTTCATTTGCTTTCTCTTCTGTTTTCCTCTCAAACTATCAGTTTGAGTCGAATTATATTTCAAATACTGTTTAGCTGTGTACTGCAGTTGACTTCCTAGGCTCTTTTAGGTTTGTATTTACATCTGGATAGCATGGTATTTGTGTGTCTCGAGGCATGTAACAGGCCCATTGGTTTCCAAGAAATACCTTTCTTCACTGATCTCTGTCCGTGGGACACAGCAAGTGAAGAAGACAATCCACATTGGATCTACATTCTGACTCCTACTGCCCGGGGAGAGAGCGAAAACTCAAACAAAACCAAAGGCTTCAGCCAGAGTACCCTGGATTAGACTTTAAAGCCAAGAAATGTTTCAAGGGAAAGCTTGGAAACAGAAACTGGGATGCAATATACACCAGTTCCTTAGATAAACTGTTAACTGGGTTTAGAAGAACTCTGCCAAAAAAGGCAGCCTAGTATAAACTGCAAAACTGGAATTAAATTGTGAAATTTGCCTGGAGTTGACAGTAAGTGACAATCACAAACATTTTTTAAAATAGTGTATGGAATAGTCGAATAGTTTCTCCAGTTTTTCTAGTTGTGGTAATTTCTATGGGTTACCATGTCAATATCAGATTATCTTGATGCTACAACCCCTTGCTCAACTTCAGCATCTATTTTCAGTAAGATCTATGGAAATGTAAGACGTAAAATAATACAGGTAGTAGCCCTGCCACGAGGCGCCCTGCCTTTAAGTGATCAAAAATGATGGCGATGGGACTGTAACAGAGACAAAACGATGTGTTCGATGCAGATAGATGACCTATTGCTGAAGCCGTACTTATTCAATGAGCCCTTTCATGAGACTTATCTTGCATATTCTGTGACAGGATTTTCTTTCCCATACTCCTGGTTCTTCCTTACGCTGCCAAGCTTCCGCCTCTTTCGCCGTACGCATGTTTGTTCTCTCAGGCTGTTCTGCATGCACACCCTAACCAGCACAAGCTGCCAACTACAGCTTCGGCTGTCTTGTCAAATCACACCCTGAACAAACTACGCTGTTCTGAGGCAATAATCCTGCCCAGCCCACCTCCAAGGTGCTGCTAATAACTGCAGGATAAGGGTCTGGAGCTATTTACAGCGCATTTTCAAGAGTATTTCCTGCCTTTGCTCTGGTTAATAGTAACAGACTTTTGCCCTCCTACCTACCTTCTGCCAATATCAATGCAACCACCACTGCTTACTCCCCTTTTGCTAGTGCAAGGATGTTGCACAGAAGTGAAATGTCTAGGTTGAGGGAATTACAGTCTTCTCAGCATATACATATAAACGTGTACAGGGCATGTATGCACCCAGATAGGAGCTAGAACTGTACAGTTTTCTGGCTGGGATATTGAATACTTTTAAAGTCTAGCCCACATATTAAACAAGCATGTGAATTCCTGGCTGTGAAAATGCTGTGTTCCAGGAAAGTTGCCAAAAATGACCTAGGCCCCTACATTTTTGACCCTAAAATAAAGTTTGAACTTTTGTACTCCTTATTTTAGTCTCACTCTACTGACCTCCAGCCTGGTTTTAACATCTGACCCTGTGATTAATTTGCCCTGTTCTCTGTGCAACACTTTACGAAATACTTGTCTGAACCCCAACCACTTTACCCTACTCCGCTTATGTAATCACACTCAGAAATAGTTCTGTAACTTATATGATAAAAACATTTTTGTTTCAGAAAGCCGCATTAACGACTATGAACTGTTCTTGCAAATCCTATGAGAAAATTAACCCCTAAGCAAACCCCCCCCAAGATTACCTTCTTCTATACTACTGTCTATTTTCAGCTACTTCAGAGATTTCTGTTCTTTATAAAACGTTTGGAACAGTAAATTCAGGCTATTTAAGTCATTGCTAAGATTTTTACAGCAATATTAATTCGGTCTTGTTGCTTTATACACTCATATAAAAATACACAAACAATAATAGCACATGTAGAAAGATAAAACATGATAAACAGAATATACGAGCAGTATTTGGGAGCTGTAGGAACCCTAACTTCAGTATTTTCTGATTTAAAATGTAATTTCTTGAATGTAACTCTTTAAAATGAGCAGTCCAAACCCACACTGTGTCTGCACCATTACTGTCCGGGGAGCCACGTGTGTCTGCATGAAAAAGACAGCTTTACTGCAGCTTTACTTTAAAGTAAAAGTTTCAAAGCAGAAAAGTGAAAAGGAGGAATTGTCCATATTTCTTAACGAAGTTTGCAGCAAGCTAATACCTTCTCTGTATCAGACAGGAAAAAAAAAAGTAATGACGGATTGGCGCAGAGCCTTTTTTCAGATCTAAAACATAAGCAGGAAACATTAGGTTAATGAAAATTGAAAAAAAAGGCTCTAAAATTAATTTGGTTGTGCTAGTTGGTCAGACAATTTAAAAGCAACCTGTACCTTTGGAGAAGAAGTAATAAAAGATGTTAAGTGTCTCTATCAGCATTGCTTTGCTATATGCCATCAGGGGTGCAGCAACACTCGTACTATTTATTTCTTATTACATACAAGAACTTTGTTTGGATAGCACTGAGTGTGAAAAAAAAAAAAAAAAAAAAAAGATCAGCATGAAAAAATGCTGATGTAACCCAGCTATCTACAAACAATGACGAGCTCTCTCACTAGCCTGCAGTATTTCATTGCTCTTAGCCGAGCTCGGCAGCATTTTAACTCGGTAGCCAACACCATATTCTTTAACACGATGCCTTGCAAGGGCAACGGTGAGGCCTTCCTAACCCCGTTACCTCCCTAGAGGTGCTGGGGAACACCATGTGAGGAAAATCTGACCTCCAGACATCAGAGAGCAAGCAATGATTCCCCAATTCTCAACAATTCAGGAGGTATCAAAGGCGCAATGTCATTATCCCACCTTTTCATCTGAAGCACCATTCTTGTCATTAGCACTTGCCTCATTTCCAAAATCCCTTTTTTGACATAACCATCAACAAACAGAATGAAACAAAAATATGATCTAGAAATTATTACATGATTCTGAAAAAAAACTCACCGCATTCATACTTTGTAGGGTTAGTGAACCGTGCATGCAACTCAACACAGGTAAAAAACTGTATATGACTACAGATAACTGCTTAACTAATTTAACTGCTTGTTATGTGAAAGCAGATGCTCCTTCTGTCCTTTGCTCTTTATTATATCACGCTTAAAAATGAAGAGCTGTTGCTCCTGTAGGCCCAAAGCCCTTGTCCACACTTCAGTGTCCCACAGTGCCGCGCGCGGGTTCCTGTCTCCCTTAACCGCTCCATCCCCATCCGTTTTACTCTAACCTAAGTTCAAAGTTGTCTTCCTGCTATAAAAACTCACAGATTTACTGCGTCTAGCTTCTGAGAAACTAAGCTGGGGGTCACTTCATCTGTTCTTTCATTAGCCCTGTTACTCCATAAATATGCGATACTTGAAAAATAGCTGAATTCATTATGTTTTCAAAGGGAATAACCGTACAGTACTCAAAAGTGCTCAAATACTATGACAAGTAAGGGACCTGCATGCTAAACAGTGCCTTTAGATGTAAAATTATACTGTATATACCCAATATCTGGAAATAATTAGATAATTTTGGAGAAGCTCATTGCACAGAAAACAGCAAGATGCTTAAACATGCAGAATGAGCATCTCTTTACCACATCTGCTATACTGTCCCGACCTCTTTTCACAGCGCCGGATTGTTAGATGATGGAAAGAAAG